GCCTTCGAAAATAGGCTTTCATCATGAATTTCTTGACCAAATCTCCTTGAATTTTAAAAATTTCTCCTTGAAATCTCCTTGAATTTGGTGGGAAGTTCATGGCAGGAACCCTGTGTATACCTGAAGTGCTGCAAGCAATATCCCCTTTAACTTGATTTTTAAAAATTTTGTTACAATGATTTGCAATGATTTTATTGTTCTGCACCTAAAAATATGACAGCCTGACCCTCAAAAGCAAGCAACGTAAGGGCGAAAACATAGAGAACGCCGATTTCGGAGACTGACTCAGTAAGCGCCGATAGGTATAAAAATTCCCTTATGATTTCCAACTTGCCCCACATAGATCTGGCCGACTGCAGGCGGCTTTAAACTCGGATCGGAGTTGTCGGCTTTATCGGAATCCAAACTACATTCTTATTACGCCGAAAAACTGGGAAGGGCGTCTCGCTGTCAACTCACCACCGCAGTGCTTTCTTGTCGTATTTCCATTTTTTAACAGTGAAAATGAGACTTCTTCTTTAACTCACATTTTGTTATGAACTGTTTTCACTGTTATTAAAAATGAAGGTACGACAAGAAAGCACCGAGGTCGCGAACTGTCAATGCCGTCTCGCCGTCGCCAACTCGGGTTCAGCGGTTTGTGTGACGTAACCCGACTGGACTGGGGACAATTTTAAATGGTCATTTCAGAGCTGGTGCTTCACGGTAGACAAAAACTAATTACATTTTTGAAATCAGCATCGTCAAAATAGGGTGGTCACCGAGCAGAATTGCATTTTAAGCAATATTTAAGAAAATTAGTGTTTTTTCCCCAAAAAATATTATGCTTCATGAATACCAGCTGTGTTGTGGTGTAATTAATTTTAATTTTTTTCTTACATCTAGAATCTAGCTCTAGGTATCTCGGCTTTACTGTGTCAATAGAGTGTGATTTTGAAGAGACGAGGCCTGTGTAGTTTTTCGTTGTGCGTCTAGAGATCTGCTTATCTGGCTGTGTCGTGTCTTGTCAAAATGGATGTCGATTTACAATAATAATAATAATAATAATAATAATAATAATAATAATGAAGATCATTTCTATAGAGCCCACTCCCGTGTAAACACAGCTCTGGGCGCTTTACATAAAAATACATGTACGAACAATATTCACGCACGCGACACAAACACAAAAATACACACACTCATACACACACACAAACACACACACATACACACACAAACATACACACTCACGAACACATAACACGCACACATGTGCACACACATGTACGCCAAACACACACACACACACACACACACACACACACACACACACACACACACACACGCATCTACTTGCTTATCAAACGCGCACGCTTACACGTCGTCACGAAATGAGCATAAAATAATCTACACAATGCAATTCACAAAATACATAAATGGATACATAGTCATTTACATAACATTGTATTGAACCTGAATCTACAGACAAAAATAGATGTCATTAAATGTATCTTTAAAGATTTTTTAAAATTTAGACTCAGATGTTGTATGTCTCAAGGGTTGGGGAAGAGAGTTCCAAACTGACGGAGCAAGGTGGGCGAACGATCTTTCAGCTAATTTTTACCCCCTTTTCAATGAACTCTTAAAAGATACTGATCGCCTGATCTTAGTGATCTAGATGGAACATAAATCAGGATGAGATCACTAAGATATGAGGGAGCTTTGTTATTGACACATTTATGACATAATATTGCAATTTTATATGACATTCTACCGGACACGGGAAGATAATCTCTCTCCTCTCTCTCTCTCCCTCCCTTTCTCTCCCTCCCTCTCACCCTCTCCCTCCCTCCCTCCCTCTCTCCCCTCTCTCTTTCCCCCTCTCTCTTTCCCCCTCTCTCCCCCCTCTCCTCCTCTCCCCCCCTCTCGGATGATAAGTCCATTCTTGTAAATTTGTAATCACTCAAGACCTAGAACTAGATTCTAGATACGGTATATGAAGGTAGACTAGACAACAGTAGATCAATGCAACGCGAGCTTAAAGGGATCAGCAATAGGCGTCCTCTATGTGGAGTCAAGCAGACACCTACTGGCGCCTGTCCGAGTCGATCTTCAGCCGCTTAAGTTTCGGCTTTCTTTATGTTATCGCCCTAATGTATAGAGATCTGAGAGCCAGAGTGAAAGTGAAAGTAAAAATCTCGAGACCTAGATCTAGATCTAAGTTCCGTATTAAATTTATTTAAACACATTTTCTAGGTTGGGGAGGACAAAGTAGAACTGTCATTATTCATGATTATTGTAACAGAACCCCTTGACGCTTAACGGTAACGCAACAGATGGTGAACACGTAAAATTTGAAAATAAAGAAGTAGTCTGCAATGCCGGAGTTATAGCCCAAGAATTTTGACAGTGAGAACGACATTATAAGATCAGATCTAGGCCCAAGCGATACATAATAAATTTATGGTTAATATTTTTATGAATAAAAACACCTTTGGTCAACTTGTTATTAAAAGTAGTTGCATTGAGGTTAAAGAAACTAAAATTTAAAAAAAGATAAAGTTGAAAATGTGCGAAACCGGAAGCAACACTACTAATTTCTGTTCCGATGGATAGAGATCTAGATCATTTGGCTGTTCCGTCAGTGTGTATTGACTCCCGTGAAATGACCAGTAGCTTAAGTACATGTACTAATACAATTTTTTTCTCGGAAAAACCTGAAGCATGATCTATCTTAAACAACTAAAACGTTGAATTATTTATCAATGAGATTGAACAAATCACACGGTTGGTTGGCAGATTAGTTGTTGTTACGCGTATTCCCATCGTAATCCTTACGCTTGCCGGTCGGTGTGCCGAGTGCCTCGACAGCTGCCTCTTCAGCCATTGTAACAGAAAGCGAGTTTCCCCGACACACGCATCCACAGTTTGAAGCCCAATAGCGGCATCACGATAACAAATAGTTTAACAGTACTTGCTTGAATAAAACAAATATATTGTGAACTAGCTTTACGTGTAAAGCACATCTAAAAAAATGTTCAGAATACTGAGATTTTATCAAAACTTCTCACAACATTGTCTTTCCACTTCAAATTTTACCTATTTTGTCAAAAAAATCCTGGTCTGCCTAGCATGGGAGTAAAGGTCAGCTTTTTACCTTTCTAATAATGCAGCAGTTATTTCTGTACACACTATCGCGACCGAGCAGTGTTTGAAAGAAAAAGAGTGGCTCTGGCTAGGTTTTGATGCGAGCGCCGGTCGGACGCAAAATGCGTCATTTTCCCAAATTTTAGAGCTATATTAAACATATTTCCACACGTCCATTCTATCCACGAACAACACACATATTAGAACAAAACAAGCTCTTCAAAAAGGTTTTTATTTCATTAAAATCAAGCAATCATGAGTGAAAAGCTACGTTTGTGAAGTTGATCATGTGGTTAGCAGTGTGATTCTCGGGAAAGTAGTCGAGTACGGTTGACATTGAAGAAACCAAGGACAGGCCGAGGCGTGAGCCACGGACTTTTGAAGACTGCGTGAGTAGCGGTCGAGGCGCAGCGCAGAGAGTTGCGACGAGTCAGTGCAAGTTGGATCGCTACATGAGGTGGGTGTGTGTAGTAAAACCGTATGCCTGTATAGTTAAACTACAAGCTATTTCGGCGAGGTGCTCATTCTAGAGCCAGATATTAAGTGCTAGTGATGGCATCGAAAATAACGACGGACATGATCAAGCCTTTCAGTGGCAATAGCGATGTTGTGGCATGGTTGGCTAAGGTTAAACTCGTCGCTGGTTTGAAGAACATTCAGGATCTTGCGAAATTTGTACCGTTGTTCCTGGAGGGTGATGCATTGGCGTTGTACTTACAGCTTAGTGAGCTGGAAAGATCACAATATGAGACAATTGAGAAGCGTCTTCTAGAGGCATTCACAGACAGCTCATTTGTTGCGTTCAGTAAGTTGACACAGAGGAGGTGGGACGGTGAGCATGTTGATGTATTCGCGAACGAACTAAGGAGATTGGGAGGATTGGCTGGATTTTCAGGCAGCGAACTGGATAGGCTGGTTAGATTGTCCTTTGTAAATGGATTCCCTGACCCGATATCGTGTGAGCTCCAACAGATGAGCCGGGTCTTCGAAGTTGAACTGTCAGAGGTCATAGCAAGAGCTAGAATCCTTACAGCAAGTAAGACTGGAATGGTCAGCGTTGCGGCGGCAGGCGGAGCCATGGCAAACGAAATGGGAAGCCACAGTCAACGTGTGAGGGCATTTAAAGGTTCTTGTTATCGATGTGGTGGACCACATATGGCTAAGTTTTGTAGTCATCGTGCTGACATTGTTTGCTACCACTGCAATGAAGTTGGGCACATAGCCAGTCGATGCAGTCAGAGGGGAAACGGTGCCTATCAGAAGAAACAGGAAAACTAGCTTCGGGTGGCTGCTGCGCCGGCAGCTACCCGTTTGAAATGAGGGCGCAGTCTTTACCGATAATTCAAGTTGGCGTGAAGGGAGCTAAGGTCAAAGCATTGGTAGATACAGGTTGTATGGTCACAGTGGTCAGTTCACAGATAGTTGGAAATTGCGTGGGCGAGAACTATATGGTAGCTTTTGATGGTTCACGAGTGCAGTGTCAGGGGAAGAAAGAGCTAATCATTGACGTGCGAGGTGTCTCGGTCTCCGTAAATGCAATTGTCTCAGATTCTATTCTGTCTGATATTGATGTGGTACTGGGAATGGATGCTATAAACAACTTGGGAGGAGTTTCAGTCAACCATGGTACAGTTGAGTTTGGTGTCAAATGGTGTGGGGCAGCGGAAATGGAAACTGAATCTGATCCCCCAGACAAGGCAAAGGGGAACGTGAAGCGAGCAGAGAGCGCTGTTTACGAACACAGGGAGGTTGAGGTTATTGACGACAGTGATTTTAAGGCAGTTTTTGATGGCAATACATGGACAGTAGAGTAAAAATGGAAAAGGGATCCTCCCCACCTGAAGAATAAGATTGGATGTTATGGTAAACAGATGGATATGAAGACTACAGAAGGGTTTGAGAAAGAGATACAAAGTTGGATAGAGGAAGGAATACTTTTACCATGGAATGAGAAAGTAGAAATAGGCATAATTCCGCTGATGGCTGTTGTTCAACCTACGAAGAACAAGGTAAGACCTGTCCTTGACTACAGAGAGCTCAATAAATATATAAGTAGTCACACGGGGGGTGACTTCACGGATGTATGCGGCGAGACATTGCGAGAGTGGAGACAGACGACAGATGCAGCAACGATTGTCGACCTGAAAGGTGCTTACCTTCAAATTCGGGTGTCACAAGATCTATGGAAATATCAACTAGTGAATTTCAAAGGTAAAACATATTGCCTGACAAGACTTGGATTCGGTCTTACATCGGCACCCCGCATCATGACGAAGATCTTGAAAACGGTATTGAATAAGGATGAGAAGATAGACTCTGCCACGCAGTCCTACATTGATGACATTCTACTGGATGAGAGCAAGGTAACATCTGCTGCACTGGTGAAGCACCTGGCCAACTATGGGTTGACAACGAAAGAACCAGAGCCATTGGATGGTGGCGCCGCATTAGGTTTGAAGTTGAAATCTGATTCCACAGGAGATCTCATATTTTCCAGAGCCAACAGGATTCCCCATGCAGTGTTTAAAGTCACCAAACGGGAGTTGTTCTCGATCTGCGGAAAACTTACAGGTCATTATCCGGTTGCTGGATGGTTAAGGATAGCATGCAGCTACATAAAGAGAAGGGCAAATGGTACCAATTGGGAGGAGATTGTAAACGATGAAGTGGAGAAAATGTTGAAGGAAATGTTGAGCCGTTTGACTAATGAGGATCCCGTCAAAGGCAAATGGTACGTGCCTAAAGCAACCAAAGGAACCGTATGGTGTGATGCTAGCAGTATCGGATATGGTGTGTTACTTGAGGTCAATGGCAACGCGGTAGAGGATGCTGCATGGCTTCGGAAACCTTCAGATTTTGATCATATCAACGTAGCAGAGCTGGAGGCTGTGATGAAAGGTGTAAACATGGCCATCAAGTGGAACATCTCTGAAATCGAAGTTATCACTGACTCAGCAACGGTGGCTGGTTGGATCAAAACTGTTCTATCGGAAGAGAGGAGAGTGCACACCAAAGGGGCAGCGGAGTTGATTGTGAAGAGACGATTAGGGATATTGAAAAGCCTTATTAATGAGTTTGGTCTGGTTTTGTCGGTCACCTTGGTTCCGACCAGAAAGAACAAAGCAGACATTCTGACAAGAGTGAAAAAGGAGTGGTTAAGCACTGGCGGGTATGGAATGGAGGAAGGAGAACCAGAACCATGCGTTTGTGCTACTGGCCATCTTGACTTGAAAGACTTGCACGATATGCACCATATGGGGGTAGACCGTACTTTGTATTTGGCTCGGAAGGTGCTACCAGAAACGAGCCGTGCTGATGTTAAAAAAGTCGTACAAGCTTGTGAGCAATGTCAGTCTATCGATCCTGCACCAGTTGTCCATGAGGCGGGCAACCTAGATGTCGCTACAGACTGGACAAGATTGGCAATAGACATAACTCACCATCATCAAGTGCCATACCTGTCAATTGTTGATTGTGGCCCAGGGCGATTCGCAATTTGGAAGAAACTGAGGAGAGAGACAGCAGGGTTTGTGACAGAAGTAGTTGAAGAACTCATGTTAGAGAGAGGACCAGTGCGCGAGATCTTAATGGATAATGGCACAGTGTTTCGTTCAGATTGTTTTTGGCAGATGCTTCAGAAATGGAATATCAAACCATTGTTCAGAGCTGCATATAGGCCTACGGGGAACGGGATTGTTGAGAGACACCATCGTACAGTGAAGTCCATTGCAGAAAGAGGAAACATTCCCCCCCAAGAAGCTGTGTTTTGGTACAACTCAACACCAAGGGCAGGTTTGGACCCAGCATCAGTGCCACAGAGAGCTGTCTACCGTTATGATTGGAGAAACCATATCGTTGTTAATGAAGAAGAAGACGGGCCTGGAAGATTTGAAGTTGGAGATGATGTTTGGGTTAAACCACCCCAGAGCAAATGTACGACTAAGTGGAATAGAGGTACGGTTACAGGAGTAAACTCGATCAACAATGTTGCTGTCGATGGTATGGCTCGTCACGTTCTCGATGTTAGAAGAGTGGTACGAGATGTAACTTCAGAGGAAGAGGATGATGAGGGAGGTGGCGGTGAACAGCAAACCTTGCAAACCCTGACGAGAAACGAAGGTGCAGGTGAACCCCCTCCCAGGCGGTATCCTGATCGAGTCAGGAAAACCCCCGGTTGGTTGGTGGACTATGAAACTCAGTAAATGAAGTAATCAAGTGTACAAAGTGTAGATAGCGTTGAACCATGTCCTGTTCGCACGTTGAAGAACTAAATTTTGTTTTGTTTGATCTTGAGATCACGGGGGCGTGTGGTTAGCTGTGTGATTCTCGGGAAAGTAGTCGAGTACGGTTGACATTGAAGAAACCAAGGACAGGCCGAGGCGTGAGCCACGGACTTTTGAAGACTGCGTGAGTAGCGGTCGAGGCGCAGCGCAGAGAGTTGCGACGAGTCAGTGCAAGTTGGATCGCTACATGAGGTGGGTGTGTGTAGTAAAACCGTATGCATGTATAGTTAAACTACAGATCACTACGGCAGTTTTCCTCCTCGGGAAGAACTCGACTTGCCGCGATCGGCGCACCGTTTGTGGTACCTAACATAAGGCGTAGAGCAGTCGACGCCACACTTGTCTGTCCCTGGCTACGTTTTCCAATTTCGGCACATCCAGGCCCTGGGTGATAGTCTCATCCCTTATTGTGCATCTGTAAGTGTAACTTCCCGTTGGTCTACCTCGTTTTCTTTTTACCAGTTGGTCTTTTATATCATGTCTGGTATAGTAGCCGAGTGCAATCTTGCCTCTGGTATTCTTAGAACATGTCTTTAAATATCTCCATCTTCTCCTTTTTATGGTCATGTTGATTTTTTAAGTCCAGCTCTTTTCAACACGTCATTTCCTGTGGTGAATTAATCCCGCCCGTTCCTCTCTTAGTTAAAAAGGCACATATGCATGTATCAGCCGGTCGATAACAAATTATATGGCTAGTAAAGCACAACGACATTCTTGTCTCGGACATGATTGTCCTGTCCCATTGTCGATTTTTTGCGTGTCAAAACAGATACCACCCTAGGACATGACTGATCTGGCGCATTAGGCAGTTTCTTTGTTGTTGCCCAAAGCGGAGTTAAAAATGCACATTCCAAAAATTTCCTAATATGTGTATTTTCCAAATTAAAAAAAATGATAACATTCACGTGATCAGCGACCGAATATTAGCAAAAATCACGCGAGAAACACAATTTAATGCCCGATTACGAAGTTGAGTTTTAATAAATTATAATTTGTGTGTGCGCGTGTGTGTGTGTGTGTGTGTGTTTCACCTTTCGGCCGGTACTAGGCCTAGATCTAGATTGCATCTTGTCTTTTATGTCTCGATTGCAATAGCCAACATCAGTCTTGTTGTACGAACATGATTTACTTTCCATTGTACAAATTATTCTATCAAGTTTGAATCAACATCCATTTTGATGAGAATAGACGGTTTAGAAACAACCGAGCGACTGCAGCTGACAATAAAGTTGAGTATCGAGATGCAAAACACGACCATGGGGGCCAACTGCACCGTGTTTTGTGTAGAAGCTTTGACCAGAGACCTAGCAAAGTAAACGTTTACGTTGCTAGGTCTCTGCTTTGACTTTTCCTCAAATGTGCAACGCACCGGGTGACCTTGGTACACAACTTTACCATTGACGATTTATTTTTAAAAATATTTGCTAAAATCTACATAGTATCGCATCAAATCAGGTTCCTCTCAAGCCATTTTGCTCATTTTATGACGCTGATTCCGAATATGACATCAGTTTTGAGATGCAATTTTTTTTTCTTCCAAAATTTTGTGCCCCAAGTTAAATCCTTCGCGGAGGCAAATTTTAGAGTAATTTTATACGTCACAACGTGCAAGCTCCACGATCTTGATAGCAGGCGCCACCAAGTCTGGGACAGTTTTGTCCTAATGCGGTAGGTGGCTATATTTCTCTATAATCACAGAGGATATTACCCTAGGACTGGGATAGTCCTGTCCCCCCACCGACTTTGTAGCAATTGCAATTCACTACTGCTCGGGACTCAAATCGAGAAGAATGTCCCGTCCCAGTAGATGCGATACATTACAATTCAAAGGTTTCAAACTCCAGACGGGTTTGTCCCAGGACAAACAGTCGTAGTGCGGTAAAAGTACATGTACTAGCACTAGCCTAAGGCTTGTACCGCACTACGACATTCTTGTCTCGGACAGGACTGTCCTGTCCCACAGTCGATTTTTTGCTTGTCAAAACAGGTACCGCACGAGGACAGGACTGGTCCGGCCCATAAGGCGCCTTTTTGTTGTTGCCCACGGCGGGGTTAAAACGCATTTTAAAAATGTTCTGAATATTGTTTAAATAAAAAAACCACAAGATTTTCGTGATCATCGACCCAAAATTAACAAAAGTCACGCAAGGAACGCAATTTAAAGCCTGATTACGAAGTTAAATTATATTATATTTATATGTGTGTGTGTGTTTGTTTGTTTCACCGGGTGACCTTGATAGTTGATACACAACTTCAACATTGACGATCAATTAAAAAATAAAATAATTTGCTAACATCTACATAGTGTCACATCAAATAAGGTCCCGCGAGCTATTTTGCTTATTTTGAGAAGCTGATTCCGAATATGAAATCAGTTTTGAGACGTAAAAATCATTTCAAAATTTGCTGCCACGCAGGATTAAACTTTGAGCACAAAATTTTAAAAATAATCATCATATATCCCAAACCGATTTCATATTCAGAATCAGCGTCTTAAACTCAAAATAAGCAAAATGGCTTGCGGAGAATCTGATCTGATGCGATACTATGTAAATGTTAGCAAATTATTTTATTTGTAAATTTTTGTTGTCAATGGTGAAGTTGTGTATCAACGTCACCCGGTGAAAACACACACACACACACACACACACACACACACACACACACACACACACACACGCGCGCGCACACACACACACACACACACACACAAATACAAATGTATAATCTAACTTCGTAATTGGGAATTAAATTGCGTTCCCTGCGTGAAAATCACGCAGGGAACGCAATTTAAAGCCTGATTACGAAGTTAAATTATATTATATTTGTGTGTGTGTGTTTGTTTGTTTCACCGGGTGACCTTGATAGTTGATACACAACTTCAACATTGGCGATCAATTAAAAAATATAATAATTTGCTAAAATCTACATAGTATCGCATCAAATAAGGTCCCGGCAAGCCATTTTGCTTATTTTGAGAAGCTGATTCCGAATATGAAATCGGTTTTGAGACGTGATAAATATTTTTTATAAATTTTGTGCCTCCTGTTTAGGCTAGTGCCGCACTACGACAGTTTGTCCTGGGACAGACCCGTCTGGATTTTGAAACCTTTGAATTGGAGTATAATGTACCGCACCTATTACGACAGGACATTCTTGTCGAGTTGAGTCCCGAGCAGTTGTGAATTGCTACAAAATCGGCGGGACAGGACTATCCCAATCCCGGGGCAATATTGTCTGTGATTATAGAGAAATATAGCCGCCTACCGCATTAGGACAAAACTGTCCCAGACTTGGTGGCGCCTGATGTCAAGATCGTGGGGCTTGCACGTTGTAACGTAGAATCACTTCAAAATTTGCGCGCAGGATTAAAACTTTGGGCACAAAATTTTAAAGATAATTATCCTATCTCAAAACCGATTTCATATATTTGGAATCAGCGTCTCAAAATAGGCAAAATGGCTTGTGGAGAACCTTCGTCAATTGTGAAGTTGTGCATCAATGTCACCCGGTGAAACACACACACGCACACACACACACACACACACACACACACACACACACTCACACACACAGAGAGAGAGAGAGAGAGAGAGAGAGAGAGAGAGAGAGAGAGAGAGACACACACATACATACATACACACACACATACACACAAGTATACATACACACATACACACTCACATACACGCACACGTAGACACACATACACACGCTCACACACATACACACATACACACACACGTACACACACACACACACTTACACACGTACACTTACACACACATACCCACACACACACGTATACGCACATACACACACACACACACACACACACACACACACACACACACACACACATACCAAATATAATTTAACTTTGTAATTGGGAATTAAATTGCTTTCCTCGCGTGATTTTTGCTAATTTTGGGTCGCTGGTCACGAAAATCTTATTATTTTTTTTATATTTGGACAATATTTAAGCCGCCTTATGGGCCGGATGAGTCCTGTCCTTGTGCGGTATCTGTTTCGACATGCAAAAAATCGACGGTGGGATAGGACAGTCCTGTCCGAGACAAGAATGTCGTAGTGCGGTACTAGCCTTAACCACAAGCGGTGGTAAATTTTAACGTGATTACATGTCACAACGATCTTGACTGCGGGCTCCACCAAGTCTGGGACAGTTTTGTCCTTATGCGGTAGGCGGCTATATTTCTCTATAATCACAGACGATATTACCCCAGGACTGGGATGGTCCTGTCCCACCGATTTTTGTAGCAATTCACAACTGCTCGGGACTCAAATCGACAAGAATGTCCTGTTGTAATAGGTGCGGTACATTACACTCTAATTCAAAGGTTTCAAAATCCAGACGGGTCTGTCACGGGACAAACAGTCGTAGTGCGGTACTAGCCTAAGACCGATCCGTGATTTCGAGTTTTTCGTGTTGGTATTATCGTGTCCGACTGAGTGCTTTACGCAACTGCACGTAATGATATATTCTGTGCGGCCTGTATGGGTGCTGTGGACACATAGCCTAATACTGAGAATCGGAATGTTACTAAGTTTATTTTCAAGCTCTGAAACAACGTTTCAACATTAAAACAAAAGAAAGCAATCATCTACAGTATAATTTACAAATAGTTTTATTATAAACCAACATTCAAGAACAATGCAAGGTTCATTCTTAAAAGAAAATCAGAACCCTGAAATATTAGACTCAAATATAATAATACAAATCGATATACTGGGACAATGCTTATACATTAACAATCCCCCCCCCCCCAAAAAAAAGCCCCCAAAATTTATTTTTTTCAGATGGGCCTAGTATACTGACAACAATGTAACGAAAAGCTGAGTGCTTTGCCGTCTATGTTATGTAGGAAGTAACACAGCAGCCTACACACTGTTTTGCCCAGCTTACCCGCTTCACATGGACTGGAAGTGGGAACACAAATTATTGATCATTATCCAGGACCCCTGAGACCGCAGGTGCTTTCGGGGTTTTCCGGAATAATACGTTCTATGGTACACTATTTGGTCTCGGGTTAGGAAAAGTAAGAGTAAAAGGTTGTAGTTGCGATTATAATAATATTATGCTGTTGCTGCGTTCGTTTTGGCCTTGATAAATCAGCAATGTGACTACATACTACATGTATCAGTGCACATGATTAAAGATTTGCTCTGCGATAGACAATGTATGGTTGATGCATGGTGAAAGGTTACTCAAAACATTGAAAACACACGGTTGAGCGATTAAATTTTTAAAAATATTTTGTTTTAACTTGTTGTTTTTTTGGGGGGGGAGCGGAACTCTAATGTTGAGTGTGAAGCAACATCTGCGATGCGCCTTTTTAATGGGTAGTCGCAGTCCCAGGGGACACCCTGAGCAAGTCAAGATAACCTAAACTAAAATAAATAATAAAAATTTTAAAAATTGAAATAAATAAATAAAAATAGATTAATGAAAATGGGAGCTGCACTGCAGGGATCTGGAAATGAACCTCTGTGAAACTGTCTGTTGGTGGATTTATACATACAAATGTGTTACATTATGTGCATATTATATAACAGTGTACTGTAGTGTACATCAAGTATATTAAGTACAAGTCTGCATTATCATCATCAAAAAGAACACAATTCAGTAAGCCAAATGCGTCTCTCAGACTGATTACATTCAAAGCGTGCACACAGGACATCTATATATGTACACCATTCTTACTTAACACTTTTCGGTCACTTGGCGCAATAATGCGCCGGTGAAATTATCTGTTCCGGTCACCTGGCGCTCAAGAAGTCGGTTGCAGTCGCTCTCATGGCTGGGTGACCAGATGGGGTATTTTTGTACTGCTGGCTGTGTGACTGCAAAGTGTTAAACTAAAAATGATAAAATATTTTAAAAACTTCCATGTATACATTTTAGGATATTATACAGTGGCTGTCGACACCAGCATTGATGAGAACGTTTTGTTCGGTATCATAAAAAGAGAGATTATTGTATTTATCCTTTTTAACAACCCTCGTCTCTGACTTTTTGTATAAATGACAGCCTTCTCCCTAGAATTACCGTTCCAGGCAATTTTCGTTAATAAAAATCATGATCTCTTGTTCTAGTTTGCATATAAAGAAGATCGTCGACATGAGAACATCTTCTAAAAGTAAGACCTAGAAAAAAGCAAAGTAGCCAAATGATTTCACCTTAACGGCCCACCCTGGATGAAGGAGTCAAGAAGTAAAATTTAACAGTGACACCCTCCAACCACCCACAAATTCAGGAGTTGCCCATCTTATAAAACATTAGTCTTTTGTTTGTTTACATATATTTTCTGAACCTCTCTGCTAACTTGCTACCCGCCATCTTCAAATCAAATATCCTATCAAACCTTTCGCTCTGCTCAACAGTAAACCGTTCGCGCCAGCCACCAATCGTTCCCTTGACCATCATGCCCGCACAGCCGTCCTTCAGAAGCGACTCTGTGTGCTGAATGGCAGCTCCTCTCTTCTCTTTCATTTTGGCGAAGCTTGTTGCGAGAGCAAGCTGTTCTACGTCCACGTCGGTTCGGCCGAGGAATTCGCACAAGGCTTTGATTTCTCTCACTGGGTCTTCTTTCAGCATCTCGTACTGCACGATGTGCACTGGGCAGTCCGGGTAATCCTGCATGAACTTCTCCGCCGTCAGGATGTGGTCAAACCAGGAACCCCACTGGATCTCTCCCGAATACTGGGGAGGGAAAGGGTTTAAAAGTTAGTGGCTTTTTATTAAGTTTGTTGACTTTTTGTTTTTGTTGTTGTTGCTGCTGATGATGGTGATGGTGTCGCAATACACGTAATTACTTTTGTATAATGACAGAGAAAGCTCACAAGACTTTATAATAATAAATTTGATGGCCAGTTCGTTCCAGTTACCAGTTTATCACTGAACCCTTCACTGATTCATTGTTTTTGCACGAGTTTGATGCTTTGCTAGAACGATAAATGATTATTGGTTTATCAGCCTCAGGAGAGTAATTTCCATAGTAAACTCATTCGGTGCCAGTTTCACGCGAATGCTTAGTGCATTCAGGTAATTTGGTCTTTTAAAAATCTAGATGTGTTTCACCCCTAATCAACACATTTAGATAATTTAGGTGACAGGCTTGCGACACCTGCCTGTCAGGGCCAGCCTGGGCTGAGACGGTTACACTATCCAAGTAGAAAGACCAAGACACTCGATTTTTTGTTTAAATCC